CACTTTTTCGGAAAGAGATACTGGAAGCGCAAACTCCGCTATTTAGGACCTTTTTAAACTAAGGACATTTTCAATTTACAGAGTTTACCTAAAAAATCCTAAAAATCATTTATTTATTTATTTATGTTTTTACTTTTATTATAATTTTTTTGAAAAGTTGCAGCTGTACCTTGGCATCACTCTCGTCAAACAGGAAGCACCACGGTGAATGGATGGATTTGATGGACAGTTCATAGGAACAAATGAAGAAAGCTGCTTCTACCAGGTCTACAGGAAGCAGAAAGGAACAATAAGTCATGAAGAACTTTTTTTAGAATGCTACTTTTTTTTCCAGAGTGAGAAGCTGGTTGGTAAAATATGAAAAACAGGGAACCCTTAGAGCTTCTTTGACCTACATTAAGATCTCTGAACTGCTGCTACCCATCAGTTTGTGTCGTCTCCTCACCTGGTGTGAGGAGGTGCAGAGAAAGGCCCAGTTTCTCAGCCATTCTCCGCCGCACCGCCTCCATCTCCACGCCATGCTTGAACTTCTCCACCTCCGCCAGTGCAGTACGGTTGTTCTCCACGCCCTCCACATAAGCTCTGCAACGCTCAAAGAAGCGCATTAGCTCATCATCCACCTCATGGCTGTATCCTGGAGCCTCATCTTTGGAAACGGAGGAAAAGAACGTCGGTTAAAGACATTCCCAGAATGTAGAAATGTATCCAGCAGACATCTGACCGTTACCTTGGCGACCCCAGTGCTGCAGCAGACCGTCCTGGAATGCCTCCACGCTGCTCACACAGCGATGCTTAGAGCTGGTGACGAAGCTGATTCTCCTCTTCCTCATGTTTTCCTCCGACAGCAAAGATGGGAACAAAGTGGCGAGCCGCCGGGCGAGGAGCTGCAGGTCCTCCCTGCCCTTCCTCACCAGCCGACCTAAGGAAGAGAAAATATTCCTTCAATCTGGTTCAATCAAACAGGAAAATTTTACTTTGATCAATGATTTAATGTGTCTAGAAAATTTTGATAATTGCAACTAGTTTTTCTTAAATTTTAAACTCCATATACAGGAAATGATTCATTACCATTTTCGATTCCGCAGCGACAAAAAAAATGACAAAATTATTAAATGTTTAACTTTGAAACATGTGCTTGATGTTAACAATAAATGACCCAGAAATATAAAATTAACAATAGCAAAAAATATGCAAATAACATGTCTCTCTCTTTAGTATCAATAACAGATTAGTATTGTATCTGATATATTCTGAGCACATCAGTATCGCTACTTTGGACAACACTAATATATCATTTATTTAGAACAGAAAATGTACTTGGACATTGCAATAAAATAAATACCTTCTGGAACAAGTTTTACCATTCATCAAAGGAAATTTAGGTCCTTTTTAAAAGAAAAAATATTTTAGAACAATTCTGATTGAACATTTAAGAAACTTATAAGTTTTAGTAGATCTATTTGATTCATTCCATTTTATTAATCATCTTAAAGGAATAAAAATTCTCCAGAATTAAATTCTATTTATTCTCTTTAACTTTTAAACTCATTAACTATTTCAGGTATTAATGTAACAAATGTTTTTGTTTTTTCCAGCAAAGAATTAATGGATCATTTCTTTCATTATCAGCAGATGAAATTCTGGATCATTAGAATCGTTTTGCTTCTTGAACAGCCATTTTTTTTATTCTTTTGTTGTTGTTTTTTTTTTTTTGGAGCCAGTTGATTTTTCTGGAATAATCCAGACATGGACTCAACTGTATTTATCCCTTGGGATTGATCCTTCAGGGAAATTCTGGTTCCAGTAGCTAATATAGATATAAACATTTAAAGAAAGATGCCATCAAAAATAAAAATACAACAGACAATATAAAATGAGTGTATATAGTTCAAACATTGTAGATTTAAATCAGTTATAAAACAAACAAAAAAATAATAAATTCAATTCAGTTTATTTTTATAGCACCAATTCACAACAAGTCATCTCAAGGCACTTTACAGTTCACCAGATCATAACAGTCAAATTTATTCAAAGTTTTCTATTGAAGGAAAACCAGTTGA